CCCGGGGCTCCGCCCTGGCGGGCCGGGCCGGGGAAGGCGCGGCCGCGCCGCCTCGGAGGCGTGGCCTCGAGCGGAACGGGGTGGAGCCTATGCGGAAACCCGAGCCCGGAGTTACTGTGAGTGACGGAAGGGCGGGGCCTTAGGGGCCATCGTGGGCGGGGCCTGGGCGGGGGGAGGGCGTCACCTCAGGGAACACTCCCTTCCTATTCGTAGGGAGTACCGAGACGGGGCGTGGCCACACCAACTAAATTTCCAGTCTGGGCGTGGCCCTCCCACAAGCTTCCCAGGGCTCGGCAGGCCGGGCGGTTGCTGCTGTGACCTCCATAGGATCCAGCGGCGTCCTCCTGACCCTGGGCCTTGGGAGCTGGGGTCCCGGGCCGCTGGGAGCCTGCCAGACCCTTAGTCCTACGCCCCCACGAAGGCCTCCAGGTTGTGGAAGGTCAGAGCCCGGGGGTGACCCTTCCAGGAGGCCGAAGACCCGGCGCCATTCGCCTCTCGCCACCTCCAGTCTGACCTGCCAGCCGGCTCAGTCAGACTGGCCTCCAGCGACGGCCCCCCAGGCTCTTCTCTGTCGGATCCCCAAGTTTCTAACTCCCATCCCAACCCTAGCCCCTCTGGTTCTGCGCCCTCTGCCAGACCAGATGGCCACCCCGATGCATAACGCTTGAATTGTGGAATGTCCTGTGTGCTGTGCTGTGTGACTTTGAACATGTCTCCGCACATCTCTGAGCCGGTTTCTACGCTCATGTGGGCCCATTAAAGCCAGGCACAAGAGCGGCAGCCCCCTTCCTAGGTTTACGGTGGCAGCGAAGCCACTGGAAACACCAGTTACCATCTCCCTGTGTTCTGGGGATGCAGGCGGCACTGGGCCCAGCTTTGGGATGCCTACAAGGCTGATGGGGGCACCCTGTTAGGGCTGAGCGTTCCTGAGGCCCCCACCCTCCGGCCCTGAAAACAGAAGAGCTCTGACTACCCATGCCAAAGAATTTAATGTTGGGGGAAGAGAAGTGAAGTGAGGTTTGGGGGAGTCACGCTGGGCGGGATTCACAGTTGCTTGAGTAGAGGTCTGCCATGTCCCCAGCTTTGCTGTGACTAGGCAGGTTGCATCCCTCTTAGGGACCCATGCTGCCCTGCCGTCCTTGGGCTGGGAGTCTCTGCAGAGGTGCAGCTGGAGGAGGTGGGCGGAAGCGTAGGCTGAGTCCCACTCCTGGTGAAGAAGGGTCCCTGGTAGACTTCCACCATCATGGAGAGTCCTGGCCAGGTCCCAGGCCCAGGGCAGAACGGGACAGAAGTCCTAGGCCTGCTGGCAGGGTCAGACCTCCCTGATCCCCAGCAGCCGGGACATTGGGTAGGGGATATGGTGTAGGTCGGGCCCTGGGAATCCCGGGGTGGCGTGCAGCTCTAGGGTAGAGGTCCTGGTAAGTGAGGGGTCTGTAGGTGCTTGGGCCTAGCAGGGCCTCAGGAGGGGGCAGCAGCTGGTGGTGGAACTGAGCAGTCGTTCTGGAGGTGGAGGCCGAAGCTTTGTTGGGGTCTGAGGGAGAAGCGGTCTGAGTGAACCCCAGCTCTCCCCACAGGAGACCCTGTCCCCTTCTGTCACAGATTGTCTGTCTCAGCCCATCTCAGCTTTTGGCCTTTGCTTCCCCTCTGCCAGGACTTCTTCCCCACCTTCTCAGGCCAAACCCTTTCTAGTCCTCCAGGGCCCAGCTCAGGAGACACCTCCTCCACGAAGCCCACCTGGCACCCCTTCCTCTGTGCTCAGCCCCTGATTCCTGCGCTGTTCTCATTACCCCAGGTAACAGATTGTCGCATGGCACCTGGGTTTGTTGCTGTCTGCACTATCTCTCTGCGTTTGGACTATGTTCCTCCTACCTCTCTCCCTCTCTGAGGAGTTCTTCCGCTGGCAGGGACCAAGACTACTCCGACTCCGGGCTGGGATGCTGAGCAGGGGCCGTGGGGCCACAGGCCTGAAGGTGGGCAACAGAATGGCAGCAGGGGACAAAGGGAAGGAACCAGCCACAGAGTCAGATGATGCAACCCCCCGGCCAATCAGAGGGCGTGACTTTGAAGCCGGGTCAGGAGTGGCCTTGGGTAGGGCTGGGGTTGGGTGGGCAGCTGAAAGGAATGGAAAGGCAGACCGTACCAGGAGTCCAGGTCACTCTCTCTAAATCCCTTGGCAAAAGGGTTGCTGGCGATTTTCAGCTGCGTGATCTACAGAGGAGAAAGTGCAGTTATGGGCTGAACCCAAGCCAGCAAGGGGGCAAGGCCAGGCTCGGCCACCCTGGCCCCCAGGTTGGCAGATTCCCCTGGACAGATGCCCAGAAAGACGGAGGGACAGGAGGCTTTGTGCTGTGGGGAGGAAGACGCAGGGCCATCTCACTCCAGTGACGTGGGCCGGAGGCCGTGAGCTCAGCCCCCACCCACCCGGTGGTTCTGGTAGGCGGTCACGGCGGTGAACTGTGTCTCCGCGAAGACGAAGGACTTGAAGTTCTCCTGGGCGTAGCGCGCGCTGTCCTTGCGCGGGTCCACGAAGACCACGTGGAAGCGGGGCTGGTAGCGGTGCATGGAGTTGAGGATGATCTGTGGGAGGCAGGGGAGGGGTGGAGAGGCGAGGGCCACAGTGCACCTTCCTGGGGCCTCAAGCCATCTCCCCAGGGCAAGAGACCTTCCCCCTCCCGCCAAGCCCACCGCCCTTGCTTGAATGGGGGTACATGGCTGAACTTGTATCTTTAGTTCTAGATCAGGGGCCCCTTTGGGGTCTGACAATCTTCACCCCACCACACACCTTAGCTTTACCTTCAGAATGATCCAGAATCTGGTCCCCTCTCCCACCCACACTACAGGGCCAGCCACTAACCACCATCTTTTATATGAGTTCCTCTCCTACCTCCTGCATCCACCTTGCCTCTGTCTGTTCACCACCTAGCAGCCTGGGTCAGACACATCAAGGTCCCTGTTTCAAAGCCTCCTGTGGCTCAGCACCCCTCCCCCCCAAAGATGCAAAACCAGGGTCCCTTCTCTGAATGATCTCTGCATGACCATGGCTTCCCAGCCCCTTCAGCCATACGGAGACCGCCCCACAGTTCTTCCAACTCACCGCACAGGCGGTGGACTCGGCCTTGGCACTGGCCATCCGCTGGGCCTCAAACAGCCCCCCTCTCATCCACTTCCCTCCCTCACCCTCACCCTTCCCATCTCTGTTCAAATATGGCCTCCCAACTTCCGGTTTCCTTTTTGTCATTTATCACAATCTGTGGCACATGTCTGTTGGATTGTTTTTTGTTTTTTTTTTTGGGGGGGTCCTAATACTGAGGCTTGAACTCAGGGCCTCTCATTCTTGCGTTTCTCATTCAAGGCTGGCATTCTACCACGTGAGCCCCTGTTCCACTCCTGGCTTTTTGGTGGTTAATTGGAGATAAGAGTCTCATGCACTTTCCTTCCTCCAGCTGCCTTTGAACCACGATCCTCAGATCTCTGCCTCCTGAATAGCTGGAATGACAGGCGTGAGCCACTAAGGCCCAGCATGTCTGCTGGATTCTTGCCTGGATGTTCCAGTACCTACAGCGATCCTGGTCTGGTGCTAACATTACACACATTGTCCTCTGTCTCTCTGGAAGCTTCTCCCACCCCCAGTCCCATTCCCCACCTGCCTGGAGAGTGCTTTGTTTTATCCACACCCCCACCAAGTGAGCTTGGCTGTCGGCAGCCCCGGGGGGGGGTGGGAGGGGGGGTGGGGAGGAACATTGGGCACCCAGGGCCCTCTGGGCTCTGGCAGCTTCCCCTGGCTCAGCCCCTCCCGCCAGGGCCCGGGCCTCACGTGGCCGTTGTCATCCAGCAGGTTGTTGGTGAGCTTGAGCTTGTCAAAGGACACGATCTGGCGCATCCACTGGGCACCCTTGGCGGGCGAGTCAGGGTGGAAGTGCACGCGGCCAGGTGTGGCCGGGTCTGCCTTGCCCGCCACCAGCCAGGCCGAGCTGTGGAAGGCGTACCTAGGGAGCAGGCCAGGTGTCCAGGACTGTCCCCCACCCAGCGGGTGCTGGGGCTGCCACTGTCCCCAGCATGGGCCACCCACCCGGTGGACATCTTCCATTGGTTTTGGTGCTGAGGATGGAAGCCAGAGCCTTGTGCAGGGGAGCATGTGGTCCGCCACGGGTCAACCCAGGCCTTTAAAGATGCAGAAGTAAAACTTAGGGACTGCCCTAAAACTGTGACTGCCCCTGGCTGGCAGGGGTCAGGACCCTGCCCTGCTCTGGAAACAGTTGGTGTCTACTCTCTCTCTCTCTCTCTCTCTCTTTTTGTCAGCCGTGGGGTTTGAACTCTGGGCCTGGGCGCTGTCCCTCAGCTCTTCAGCTCAAGGAAGCACTCTGCTGCTTGAGCTACAGCGCCACTTCCGGTTTTCTGGTGGTTTATCGGAGATATGACTCTCATGGCCTTTCCTGCCTGGGATGGCTTTGAACCGTGATCCTCAGATCTCAGCCTCCTGAGTAGCTAGAATGACAGGCGTGAGCCACCAGTGCCCGGCTACTTCCTAGTCTCAGATGCCCCAAGTCTGAGTTTGCTCTCCTCGCCCTCCCCACCCCCAAGCTGCCGCCATACCTGTATCTCTTGTCATCCAGCGGAATGAAGTCCATGAGCAGAGCATAGTCGGCCAGGGTGTCCATGCCCAGGATCCTCACCTGGAAGGTGGGGAACATCTTCCTGTGGGAGCGGGCGCTCAGCAACCCCGTCATGACTCAGCCCCGCCCTGCCCTGCGCCCAGCCCCTACCCGCGCCCCTACCTGCCTGCCTTGGTCACGATCATCTCCGTGCCCAGCTGGTTAAATTCCTCCCACAGAGGCTTCATCTCCAGCTGAACGGTCACGCCCGACACGCGCGGGTTCTTGGGGCCCTGCCCCATGGGCTCGGCCACGGGTTCTGCTGAGCTGGTGCAGGGGCCTGATGGGAACGGGGTTGCCCGTGGACGCTCCCAGCCGGAGCTGGTCGCAGGCAGAGGGTAGGGCTCTGGGGGTGCAAGTACCCCCAGGCTGGCAGGCAGGAAGGCTGCGGGAGAGGATGCAGGCATGGGCCCTTGCCAGCTCACCCAGCCCCGCTCACCGCCCAACCAGCCCTGCGCCTTCAGGAGCCTCTTCCTCCAGGAAGCCCTCCCAGCGTGCCAGGCTTGCACTCCTACTCTTCCCTGGGCAGGATTGTTCCACGGGGCTAAAGTTCACTTAAAACGTGTTTTGTAAGACCCAGAGGCTCATGGGAAAACACCAGCCAGAGTGAGAGCACAGGCCCTGAGTTCCAGCCCATTTATTGGTGCACACGTGCACACCTACACACACACACACACACACATCTTTTTTCCTAGCAAGCTCCTGGAGGGCAGAGACAGGGCTTGTTTTGCTCCCCAGGGAGCTCCATCTTTTCCTTGCGCGGAGCCACACCCAGCTTTGCTTTCCTGCTTTAGTTCACTTCAGTCAGGTCTCACCCTTTCGCTCTGAGGCCTGCTGTGACCCAGCTCCTCCTGGGCGCAGATCACCTGGCCCAGCCTCACCGGGGATGTTTTTGAGCCGGCCTGCGGCTGTCTGCCTTGGAGGGATTATTTCACTTCCTGGAGCCTCAGTGTCCCTGTCTGTCACAAGGGGTCGGTAAGACCTGCCCTCAGGGCTGATGTGAGCGTTGGTGAGGACAGCTGCGGCACACCACCCGCACACAGCAGGTGCTTTGTCACACGTGCGGAGGCTGTGGGGAGGGGGGGACCTGGAGTC